CCATCTTCTACTCCCAATGTTTCTCTCTGTTCTAAGATAGAAGCCATCCTGATTCTCCCCTCTCCCACTCTAAAACCTGTTTCTCTCCAAGAAATTCATGCTCTGATCTCTCTCTCTCTCTCTCAAATTGCTAAACCTGTGAAAGTTCAGCTCCCATGCCACATGCTCCTCATGCCAAGTCATTAACAAATTTCATGCGTTCCTTTGGGTGTTGGTGAAAAGAACCCGAACGTATTTTTCTAAGGCTTCAGTAAGTCTTTTAAAAATTCTTTCGGGAGTCTGGTTCTTGAACTCAGGCTTTTGAGAGGATCTTTTGTTCGCTTTCTTCTCCCAGCGGCCCAAGCCCATTCGTTAGGTTGCTGGAACAAAAGAACCCCCACACATGTCATGTCAAATTCGTTATGTTCTGTTGAAATTTATGTGGAGCCTACATGTCCAATAATAACATGCCAAGTGGATTTGAATTTAAAAAAATTATCTTTTGAAATTTCTCTCTTTTGAAATTTTTTATTATTTTCAAAGGGTTTAGGGTTTTTCAACAAAACCTAACAGATTTGGCGTGACATGTATGTGGAGCCTACATGTCCATTAATAACATGCCAAGTGGATTTAGATAAAAAAAATGTATGTTTTGAAATTTTTCTCTCTTTTTTTAAAAAAGATTTTAAATGTTAAACTATTTTTTTTTAAAAAAAACACTTCTTCATTTAGATCCACTTGACATTTTCTCATTGGCTATGTGTGCACCACATATATGTAATGTCAACAATTTAACAAAGAAATGTAATAAAATCTCACGGTGGGATCAAATTGATGTGTGAGGTGTAACATAAGGACCAATAATGTTAGAAAAAAATTATAAAGGATCAAAGGTGATAATTTCGCAAACCTCAGGGACCATTTGTGATAAAATCCAAAATATTTAAAACATTATTTAATCCACATGGCATCCACGTTAGCAATCTAACAGAAAATTTTGACGAAACGTGATGGCGGGACTAAATTGATATGTGAAGTGTAACATAAGGGACCAATAATGTCAGAAAAAAGCATAAATGACCAAAGGTGATAATTTAGCAAATCTCAGGGACCCTTTGTGATAAAAATCCAAAAAAGAAAAAGAAAAAGAAAAACGCTTCATACAGTGTTATAGTGGATAAACAAACAATTTTTCTTATTCTGGTTTTCTTATCTATTTTGAATTTTATTTGATTTTGTTTTTGTTTTAAACATTTTCTTTAATTTTTATTAACACTGTATTTTGTAAAATGACAAACTTACCCTTACAATTGACGGGAAATTTTATGGAAGTATAAGCTCATTGCAGACAGACCTAACGAAAGCAGATTTTTTTTAATACAAACGATAGTCCCAAAGTGTCTTAATTTTGATGTTAGATCGCTCCGTTATTGTAATGGCCCTTTGTGGCTAGTTTATATTTGTCACATCCCAGATCGGCTCCGCCGTAGCACGATATTGTCCGCTTTGGGCCCTCCTCTCTGCCCTCACGATTTTGTTTCTGGGAGCTCACGAGCAACTTCCCAATGGGTCACCCATACTCGCTTAACTTCGGAGTTCCCATGACTCCGAAGCCAGTGAGCTCCCAAAAGGCCTCGTGTTAGATGGAGGCAGGTATGTACATATAAGGCACATCACCCCCTCTCTGTTGGTCAATGTGGGATCTTACAATATTGGCCATTTGTGGCTAGTGACTTTCTTTACTGAATTATAAATGCAATCCTAGAATTTCTCAACCAAAAAAAAAAAACTACCGGGGGAAGGGTTGCTTAGACACTCTACCAAAGTGTCATGGGGTTCAAATATGAAACCACTAGCAGTTAAGGTCATTTTTCAATGGTCTGCACTTTTAATTTTCTAGAAAACGGATTAAATTGGGTATTGTCTTAATTAATTAATCAGCTAAAGACTAGATTATATGACTTATTAGTGTTGTAATCTTAGAAGGGTAATCTGTTGAATTAACCCCTGAACTTGTACATAACTCTCAATTTACACCCTGACCTTTTTTTTTAGCGAATTAAGGGCTCGAATGAAATTTTATTATCAATGTTCCCCCACCGTCAAAATTCGAACATTTCATCCATTAATCCGTCCATTTGACTCACGTTGACCCTTTTTTTAGGGTTTTTTAGGAGTTTTTTTTTTCAGCGCCTTTTTTTTTGGAAAACAATTGAAGAAAAAAAGGAAAATTGAAAAAAAAGAAAGAAAAAAAGAAAAAAGATCCTGAGAGCCCAGCCCCCACCCCTCGATTTCTTTCTCCCCTCAATTCTCCCATGACCACCCCTTGCCCCTACCACCCCTCCCCCACAAACCCAGAAATCCAAGCCAGCAACCACAAACCCAGCAATGTCAAACCCAACCCCACCTCCGATTCTTCCAGGCTCAACCTCATCTACAACCACCGCAATCTCTGACTGCTCTGCCTAATCCCAAGCTTCGATCGCCACCCCAACCTCCAGCGCCTTCCTCAACCACATCTCGGAAAATCTCCACAACGGCCTCTCTGAGCGCCGCTCCTGGTTGGAGCTCTTTCGCCAAGCCCCGATCACCAAGATGAGTTTGCTGATGAGAATATCAATTCAAACATAAACATATTTCACAAACCAGATGGGGCTTCCTCAGCATAAAAGTATAAAGCAAGTGGAGATGGTGGGTCCTAACTTGCTTGGTCCCCATATGATCTTCCCATGTTTTGTTTTGTTGATGGCGAGTGAGTGGTTTGTGGTTTGTTGTTTGCAGAATTCTTATAGTGCAGAATACTATATAGGATGTTAATTTGTCAACTACCAGGTATTCTTGTTGTTGGCGCGGGGGGAGGGGGGTGTGAAAAAACAGAACGGATTTGTGGTTTGTGGTTGCTAGTTGGGATTTCTGGGTTTGTGGGGGAGAGGTGAAAAACCAGATTTGGGTTTCTGGTTGCTGGCTGGGGTTTTTAGGTTTGTGAGGGAGGGGTGAAAAACCAAAAGGGGTTTCTGGGTTTGTGGTTACTGGCTGGGATTTTTGGGTTTGTAAGGGAGGAGTGGTAGAGGTAAGGGGTGGTCATGGGAGAATTGAGGGGAGAAAGAAATCGAGAGGTGAGGGGTGGGTTGCTGGGTTCTCAGGATTTTTTTCTTTAGTGTCTTTTTCTTTTTTTCTTCAATTTTCCTCTTTTTCTTCAACTTTTTTTCCAAAAGAAAGGTGCTAAATGACCAAAATAACCCTCAAAAGAGAGTCAACGTAAGTCAAATGGACGGATTAATGGATGAAATGTTCGAATTTTGACGGTGGGGGAACATTGATAATAAAATTTCATTCGAGCCCTTAATTCGCTAAAAAAAAAGGTCAGGGTGTAAATTGAGAGTTATGTACAAGTTCAGGGGTTAATTCAACAGATTACCCTTCTAAGATTACAACACTAATAAGTCATATAATCTAGTCTTTAGCTGATTAATTAATTAAGACAATACCCAATTTAATCCGTTTTCTAGAAAATTAAAAGTGCAGACCATTGAAAAATGACCTTAACTGCTAGTGGTTTCATATTTGAACCCCATGACACTTTGGTAGAGTGTCTAAGCAACCCTTCCCCCGGTAGTTTTTTTTTTTTGGTTGAGAAATTCTAGGATTGCATTTATAATTCAGTCAAGAAAGTCACTAGCCACAAATGACCAATATTGTAAGATCCCACATTGACCAACAGAGAGGGGGTGATGTGCCTTATATGTACATACCTGCCTCCATCTAACACGAGGCCTTTTGGGAGCTCACTGGCTTCGGAGTCATGGGAACTCCGAAGTTAAGCGAGTATGGGTGACCCATTGGGAAGTTGCTCGTGAGCTCCCAGAAACAAAATCGTGAGGGCAGAGAGGAGGGCCCAAAGCGGACAATATCGTGCTACGGCGGAGCCGATCTGGGATGTGACAAATATAAACTAGCCACAAAGGGCCATTACAATAACGGAGCGATCTAACATCAAAATTAAGACACTTTGGGACTATCGTTTGTATTAAAAAAAATCTGCTTTCGTTAGGTCTGTCTGCAATGAGCCTTATAACAGACTGCTTTTTTTTGGGGGGGTCAAACTTATAGGCTGGTTAATTACTCTGTATTTTGTGTTGTACTTTCAAATCCATGAATACCAAAAATTGCACGCGCAAATAGGTAACTAGTTGATTTTCCCCTCACAGAAATAAAACAATGTGTTGTTGTTGAGCCCCAAGGTCATTACAATAATGTACATCTTCCAGGATAGAACAAATATCGAGTACACAGTGCAGATGTTTTTTTTTTGGCTAGGGTCAGTGCAGATGTTATTCCACACAAAAAGTATGCAAGTGCATTGAAATAAAAGTGTATATAATTAATCAGAACAGCTCGATTTTTTTATTATCAAAGTGTTACTAATAGAATAGGAGCTTGATTTATATTCCTATTTTAAGACAAGAAAAGAGGGCCTTCTTGCACAACATGCATCAAAACAAATTGGGTAAGGTCATTTGGGTGCATCTGGAACAAGAAAGATGGTGAACCAACCACTACCAAAATCTACAAGATCCATTTTATTGCCACAAACTAGAATCCCTGTAAATCACTGGACTAGTAAGCTGAATAAATAGCAAACCATATATGCAAAGACGGCAAACAAAACATGTGAAATCTTTAATTAAGTTGCAGTTGATTAAGCCAAAATGCAGAAGCCCACGCTTAAACAAAATAAAGCACCGTTACATAATGTCACACACATGGATACGAAATGCAGAAGCCCACGCTTAAACAAAATAAAGCACCCTTACATAATGTCACACACATGGATACATGTAATATCCTTATTCGAATAATTTTTTGCAGATAGTTGAGGCTATAGATTGAGATTAGATAACAAACTTAGCCCACGCTTCTTCTTCTTCTTCTCAAACTGAGATATGAGTCTTTAGTTGCCTTCATTTTTTTGATAACAACACCCATTTGCATACGCTCAGATGGTGATATTGCAGAGCAGGAGAGTCCTATCTGCATCACAGAAACCAAACATTCCTCCAATCTTGTTGCTTGCAATTGGATAGGGCTGCCATCCTCATTGATTGTAATTGGTCTCACTCGTATGTCATTGTTGTATCTTTCATCATCACCATCTGCATCATCTCTTTCCATCAACAATGAAGGGTAAACTATGTCCATGGCATGGTCAGGCATTGCCATGGCTGTGAATTGGTGAATGCTTAGACCTTCTGTGAACATGTCATCTGTAGGTCTTTTTCCTATGAACATTTCCAGCAACAGTATTCCAAAGCTATAAATATCTCCCATGATGGAAACTTGGTCTCCCATGCCGTACTCTGCTGTTAATTACATGCATTAGTATGTCACAGTCAAATCATCTTTACAACTTAGAACTTATTATTTATGAGTTTATTGATACTTGTTTTATAGGAAGAAAAAAAAAAGGGGATTATCTTTTTTTTTTAATGGGAAAAGACTTAAGTTTGCATCATAATAACTTATTAGCAAGAGATAAAAAGAGAACGGCATAAACTCCATACCTGGAGGAATGTAGCCTATGGAACCCTTTAGCGCAGCTGAAATGGTGTGACTTTGGGAGGAATTCTCTGATGCTTCCAAGAGGAACTTTGCTAAACCAAAGTCGCCAACATGGGCAACCATATCTTCACCAAGAAGAACATTGCTTGGCTTTAGATCACAATGAACAATGGTCGTTTCACAATGGTGGTGGAGATATTCTAATGCAGAGGCAATGTCAATTGCAATATTGAGTCTTTGGATAAGGCTCAATCTCTTACTTTGAGATTGCTCATCATCTCTAGGATGCAGCCATGAGTCGAGACTTCCATTTTCCATGAACTCGAAAACTAGACCCTTGAAGTCATTACCTTGAGTATCAATGCTCGAGCATGCAGTTATGATCTTCACAAGATTACGGTGCCGTATGCTTCTTAAAGCTTTGCATTCATCAATGAAACTCTTGGAAGCTCCTCGTTGTTGAAGGTTTAATACTTTGACAGCAACTACCCTCCCATCAGTAGGAAGTACTCCTTTGTAAACAGAACCAAAACTTCCTGAACCAATCAGATTGTCTATAGAGAAACTGCCAGTTGATTGAACAAGTTCTAAGTAAGAGATTGATTTCCAACCCTTGTAAGAATGTGAAGCTACAGGTCCACCTCTTGACTTGTTCACCTTTGAACGAGCAACAATGAAGCATGACATAGCAATTATGAAGGCAAGTGCACAAGTGATAAGGATGACTACCTTTGGGGCAAGTAGTCGTTGAGATGAATGAGACTCTTTTTGGAAGCATGCATTTAGAAGTAATATTGGGAGGCCACCGCAAAGCCTATTGTTTCCAATAACTGAGAGACCACTTGCATTAGAAAAGATCCCTTCTTTAGGCAATTCACCCTCAAAATCATTATAAGAAAGATTGAGATAGTGAAGAAACGGAAACTTGCACAGAAATTCTGGAATCTGGCTTGATAAGTTGTTGCGTGAAATATCTAGATATTCCAAGCTTCTTAAACTTTTAAGCGATTGAGGAATTGTTCCTTCAAATTCATTACCTTCCAAATGCAGGTGCACCAACATAATACAATTGCCCAGGGTTGTGGGAATTTCACCTGATAACTTATTCCCAGAAACATCCAACTCAACAAGATTTACCAATTCACTCACTTCAGATGGTAAAGAACCCGTCAAAGAATTTTGAGAAATGTCCAAAGAAATTGAAAGGGATGAAACCCTGAAAAGCTCTCTAGGTATGGCACCAGTTATGTTGTTATTAGAGAGGTCAAGATCGAGTAGACTTTGGTAGCTCCCAAAACTTGGAGGTATACTTCCCTCAAACTTATTATTTTCCATGTAGAGGAGTATCAAGGAAGTCAAGTTGCCTAAGGAGGACGGTATCGGCCCAGAAAATTTGTTATTATTCAAATACAGTTCCTGTAACTTTGGAAGCTTCCCAATTACATCGGGGATACTTCCACTGAAGTAGTTGTTATCCATTCCAAGATCATTTAAGCTTACAAGATTTCCAATGCCATCATGGATGCTTCCGTGTATCAAATTTTGCCCCAAAGTTAGAATACGTAGTTGGGTAGAAAGGTTGGCTATAGATCTTGGCAATTCTCCTCCAAAATGATTAGTGTCAAGACCTAATATCTCTAGGCTAGTACAATTTGCCAAAAAGTTCAGAAAATTCAAGTCGCCAGTTTTCCCGCTTCCCAGTCTATTCCAAGAAAACTTTAGTCTAACTAAGCTTCGCAAGCTTCCAAGATATTCAGCAGGGATTGTCCCAGTGAGATGATTTTGAACCATATCAAGAATCCGAAGATTAGAAGAATTATACAACGATGCAGGAATTATGCCAGTGAAATTGTTGCCACCAACATAAAATTTTTCGAGTTTAGGAAGATTAATGCCGAGATTTGGTGGTAGCTCTCCATGCAGCTGATTTGCAGCAACACCGAAACAGTATATTGAAGAAATGTTATAGATTGAAGAAGGGACAATACCAGACAGATTGTTCGACCCAAGTATGAGTTCCTCCAAGCTTGTCAGACGCCCGAGCTCAACGGGTATGCTTCCTCGAAAATTGTTCCAGGAAAGATAAAGATCATGCAAAGAAGAAAAGTTTCCAATCCAGCCTGGGATTGCTCCAGTGAGATTGTTACCAGAAAACCCTAGAATTTTTAAATTCAACAATGAACTGAGTTGGCTCGGAATGGACCCAATAATATGATTGGAAATAATATTCAGCACACGTAGTTGTGTACAGTGAGATATATTAGTTGGAATTTTCCCGCCCAAGGAATTTTGAGACAGTTTGAGAGCTTGTAGGCTTCGTAGACGACCCATTTCTTGAGGAATCTCACCATGGAAGCTGTTGTTTCTGAGGTTGATTCCAGTAAGATGAGTAAGATTTCCAATAGATGGTGGTATAGAGCCTGCCAGTTTATGAGAACTCAAGTTCAAAATCAAGACTCTTTTGGTGGAAGGGTTGCACGTAACGCCAACCCAACTGCAGAAATGAATTGAATCATTCCAGGAGCTCATAACATGGAGAGGATCTTGAGTGATTCTTTTCTTCAAGTCTAGCAGCGCCAGGCGATCAGTTTCACTTCCAAAAGTATTACCACTGGACAGAGTTGCAGATTCCAGAGGTGTGCTCATGCATAAAAGAATGAGCCCATGAAGGAATGTAAACAAAATCAGCCTTCCATGAGTAGTACTTTGTGACTGCTCCATCCTTTTTGGAAAAAAAAAATTAACAGTGCAAATCAGAAACCAAGTGTTTGTCTTTTTCTTTTCTTTTGCTGGGAAAAGAGGAAACCAAGTTTCGTTATACGAATGGATAAGAGGAAGATTATATATATACCCCTCAAATAATTTGATTTAAGAAGGGTCCCCTACAAAAAAAATTTCGACGATCCAAACTATCTATTTTTCACATCTTCATTCATAGATCATCCTTTCAAAAAATCAAGCAACTTGAAAATCATTAAGACCAGTGGCAGAGCCAGAATTTCACATTAGAGGGGCCCTACGCAAAGTTATAAGACACTAACTAATCGTTTTGGCCCACTTCATAATATCATTTTATAAATAATTATAATAATATATACACATTCATTACAATCATAATTGTCATGAATTTTTTTTCTTTGAGAAACATGAATTTCATAGTTTAAATTAGTTGAATAGTAATCTCATCGACTACACTATTAAAGACTCAAATTAATAATTTATATTCCAACAAAGAGAAGAAAAATAAAGGATCATAATACCCAACACTAAGGTACGCAACTCATACATGAAAAAAAAAGGACAGAAATAAAAAAATTCACAAAGTTAAACAAAAGAGAAAAAGAAAGAAAGGTTGTAAATTTAGGAGTTTTTAGTGCAAATATCATAAACTAACCTAAAACAAAATAAGGGAGATAAGTAGATAGGAGATCAAAAAATTTATGGTTAATTTGTAGACAATAAGAACCTTATATGTTGTTTATTTTTATGATAAATATCCTAAAACTAATATAATATATTACGATATCATATATATCATATATAGTATATAAATAAAATTAGGTAAAAATGTAGTGGGGCCTGTGACCACCCTGGTCCCTTAATTAATGTCTCCGTTGCTGATTAAGGCATCTAATTGAGAGCAACACAGTGCTTCAAGAAAGTACTTAAATTTCAATCATTTAATTGAGTGGTCAATGATATCGGATTCAAGTGATTTTTTGTAGATATGATCTTTGAATGAATATTTACGAAATAGATGGTTGAGATTAGTGAAATACAATGCGAAGTGGGCCCCACAAGGGTGTCCCTAACAAAATCTCTTAGGCCTTGTTTGTTTCATGGAAAGGATTTGATGGGAAATCATTTCCCATGTCATTTGCCAAGGGATGGGAAATGAAAGATTCATTTTTCATATTTGATAATATTGAGAAAGTAATCGGAAAATACCACTTTATTTCCTTATAATTCAAAAAAGCTCCTACCGTGTTGTTTACACAGAATTGAAGACCAAAACTTTGATTATTTAAATAAGTCCACAGCGCATTCCATTGGCCCGAAAGTTTTTACTAAACAACCTTTTCTAACTTTCCAACGTTGGACTAAAGATTTTCCCACTCAAACTTTCCCTACACAAACTCCAGCAGAAGGAACTTAAACAAAATCAGCATCCCACTTTAACCTTTTATTTAATTTTGTTTTTGTTTTTAACATTTTATTTAATTTTTACTAACACTGTACTTTGTAAAATGACAAACTTACCCGTATAATTGACGGGAAATTTTATGGAAGTAAAGATTTTCCCACTCAAACTTTCCCTACACAAACTCCAGCAGAAGGAACTTAAACAAAATCAGCATCCCACTTTAACCTTTTCTTTAATTTTGTTTTTGTTTTTAACATTTTATTTAATTTTTATTAACACTGTACTTTGTAAAATGACAAACTTACCCGTATAATTGACGGGAAATTTTATGGAAGTATGTACTTAACAACATGGGCTAAATTGGCGATAAAAAATATTAGAGGGCTAAATTGACGATAAAAAATATTAGAAGGTTAAATTGACTGAAAAAAAAAGGTTCAAGGTGATTATTTCGACAAGCGTAATAATTTTTTGGCAGATAACCCTAAAAGAAAAGAACAAAATTAAAGAGCTTCACTGTTAGTGCTGGAAAATTGTAGTGGACGAATAAAAAAACTCTTAACAATTTTGAAAGTGTGCATAAAGAAAGAAATCGTATCATTGTGTGTTGGAAAAATTGTAGAGGATGAATAAAAAAACTAAAACACTTTTGAATGTCTGCATTACATAACGAAGAAATCTTGTCACATAAAAAATAAAAATAAAAATTCTTATCACATGAAAAAATCTTATCATTGAGAGGATGAATAAAAAAACTAAAACACTTTTGAATGTCTGCATTACATAACGAAGAAATCTTGTCACATAAAAAATAAAATAAAAAATTCTTATCACATGAAAAAATCTTATCATTGTGGTAGTGTTGGAAAAATTTTAGTGGGTGAATATAAAAAAATTCAAAATATTCTGAAAGCCAACTTTTCAAATGAAATATGATGAATCTGCTCTAATTCTTCTTGCCTAATTAGCCATTAACAATATATATGAGGCCAGCTTTGTCTGTTTTTTTTCCTTCTCTTTTATTATAATTACTTTTGCATCCATCGCCTAATGCGCCATTAACAATTTGATGAGACCAATTATGATGCTAGTGAATCTTGAAGGAACCAAAAAGATTATTGTCTCTAGCAGTTATTCTTTCTTCCGGCCCATCTACTCATGATGTCAAAATAAATACTGATGGAGCGCGCAAAAGTGACTCTGGTAAAGCAGGTAGTGGTGGTGTGTTTCGTGATTATCAGGGCCATGTTTTTGGGGCATTTTCGGCCAATTTAGATGTTCCTAGTGCAGTTCATGCTGAAGTTTTAGCGGTCATAAAGGCCATTGACCTTGCTTGGCTACATGCTTGGCATAATGTTTGGATTGAAACTGATTCGTTGTTAGTTACTAAATTCTTTCGCTCTCCACATTTGGTCCCTTGGCTTCTACGAGTTGATTGGCAAAATTGCTTGCATCGTCTCCAACACATGTCATTTAAGATTTCTCATATCTTTCGTGAGCGTAATCAGGCTGATGATGCTTTGGCAAATCATGGTGCTTTGGGCTCCGGTTTAATTTGGTGGGATACTGCACCTTCTTTTATTTTACCTTTTTGTCAGCGAGACTGGCTGGGCATGCCTAATTACCGGTTCTCCTAGTTTCTTTTGTTTACTCTTTCAGAGTTTTGGTCTCTTAGGTCAGCATGTTGTTTTGCTTTTCTATCATTGTCTTTCTCTTCTACAGGGTTTGGTTCGGTCCCCCCTGTGTTTCTTTTATGTTTTGTTTCTTATTAATAAATTATGATCAAGGGGACGGGCGGGGGGCTTCCAGAGTGTTGGTCCCCTCTTTGAGGGTGGTGGATGTTTGTGCATCCGATGACCGATACTGAAGAGCTAATCTCGCCTAATCCCTTGATTTATTTAAAAAAGTAGAAAGCAGCAATCAGCCTGATGTCATTTTCACTTCTTTATATTCTCTTATTTTCAAGAATTTTGATAACTAAACCTCTCTCATTGCTATGTACACATTGAGAGAAACTCTTTCAAAAGAAACAGCATATGCAGTGTCCTGTAATCATTCAAAGTAAAAACTATCTTGACTTGACTAAATTGTGATTATTTAGGTAGAAATCAACATTCATGGCTTTTGAATGCCCGCAATTATCTGTTAATTAACTTTTGACAACTTACAAATTACAAATTCCTTAATTAATTAATTCAAACTGTACATGCACGCCACAACCTACATGGGCCATCTTTCTAAGATTACAACACTAATAAGACAATACTCAATTTTAATCATGAATACCAAAATCCATGAATACCATGAATACCAAAAAATGCACGCGCAAATAGGTAACTGGTTGATTTTCCCCTCATAGAAATAAAACAATGTGTTGTTGTTGAGCCCCAAGGCCATTACAATATATAATGTACATCTTTCAGGATAGAACAAATATCAAGTACACAGTGCAGATGTTTTTTTTTTTTGCTAGGGTCAGTGTAGATGTTATTCAGAACAGCTCGAGCATTGAAATAAAAGTGTTGCTAGGGTCAGTGTATATAATTAATCAGAACAGCTAGATTTTTTTATTTTTGTTTTTATCAACTGTCCGGGAGTGGGGTGATTCAAACTTTGTTTTTATCAAAGTGTTACAATAGAATAGGAGCTTGATTTATATTCCTATTTTAAGACAAGAAAAGAGGGCCTTCTTGTACAACATGCATCAAAACAAATTGGGTAAGGTCATTTGGGTGCATCTGGAACAAGAAAGATGGTGAACCAACCACTACCAAAATCTACAAGATCCATTTTATTGCCCAACCCTAGAATCCATGTAAATCACTGGACTAGAAAGCTGAATAAATAGCAAACCATATATGCAAAGACGGCAAACAAAACATGTGAAATCTTTAATTAAGTTGCAGTTGATTAAGCCAAAATGCAGAAGCCCACGCTTAAACAAAATAAAGCACCCTTACATAATGTCACACACATGAATACATATAATATCCTTATTCGAATAATTTTTTGCAGATAGTTGAGGCTATAGATTGAGATTAGATAACAAACTTAGCCCACGCTTCTTCTTCTTCTTCTTCTTCTTCTTCTCAAACTGAGATATGAGTCTTTAGTTGCCTTCATTTTTTTGATAACAACACCCATTTGCATACGCTCAGATGGTGATATTGCAGAGCAGGAGAGTCCTATCTGCATCACAGAAACCAAACATTCCTCCAATCTTGTTGCTTGCAATTGGATAGGGCTGCCATCCTCATTGATTGTAATTGGTCTCACTCGTATGTCATTGTTGTATCTTTCATCATCACCATCTGCATCATCTCTTTCCATCAACAATGAAGGGTAAACTATGTCCATGGCATGGTCAGGCATTGCCATGGCTGTGAATTGGTGAATGCTTAGACCTTCTGTGAACATGTCATCTGTAGGTCTTTTTCCTATGAACATTTCCAGCAACAGTATTCCAAAGCTATAAATATCTCCCATGATGGAAACTTGGCCTCCCATGCCGTACTCTGCTGTTAATTACATGCATTAGTATGTCACAGTCAAATCATCTTTACAACTTAGAACTTAT